CTGCCAGCTCGGAGGATTGCGTGAGTATAACTTTTTATACAAGCAAAAACAAGCAGGTAACCCTTGCAGTGTAGGGGTAGCCCCTCTGCAAGGGTTCATTGCTATCCAGAGTTCTTTGTTAAGACACCGTTCCCACACGTTAATCACTCCGTGGGATTAATGCACGGTACTGTGCAACACACCTACCATGCGTTACAGTGTAGGAGGTGCATTGCTTTGCCATTCATTTGAATGGCACCCAAAACGCACCTCCTGTGTGTTGTGGTGCATTGTGATTAAAAACATCGTGCATGCACAGTCGATTGGCTCTTCGAATGAATGGCAACGCAATGCACCTCCCGCATTGTAACGCTGATCAATGATCTGTGGCTGATCAGCTTCAATGGATGGCAAAGGTGACATTAGAGGTCTAATAGCCAACTAATGTCTCCTTAAAGAGGACCTGTCACCACTAAAGTGCTATCACTTGGTGGGCTTGTGAGCTCCTATGCGATAGCAATAAAGTTAAGGCACAGCGGGAACAGGACCTGCTTTCTCCAACTTCCTCTATTCCACCAGCACTGTAAAGAATTCCTTGTCTTGTTACTTTGTACGATAAACACACTTCCGCCGCCCGCCCGATCTGTAACATTGTCTAGGTACATTCAATTACTATTAATAGCCCGCTGTGTTGGTCATGTGACCGCGCGAGCTGAAGCCCAGCCATCCAATAGCAAACAGCGACACCTGCAGACCAATGAAGAGCTGACAGCTTGCACCAATCGCGGCGAGGCTCTCACGGTACCAGGAAGAGACTGAGCCTTGGAAGAGAGTGCGGAGCCCCGGAGCCGTGACCGGGCTGAGGGATGGGGAAGTGTGTGTTTGTCACCGTGGGGACCACCAGCTTTGATGAGCTCATCACCGTCATCTCCTCTGATCGCTGTACAAGTGTAAGGCGACTACTGCTGATAGAACTGCATCTGTGCATTGTGTCATAACACCTGGAAACCCAGGGTGCCCACTACTGTTTTCTAGGGCCAGTAGTAGCCAATCAAAAGGGGAAGGCTGGATTCTGATAGGATGTACTGCCTCACTGCACTTAGGAATTCTCATTTAAAGAACAACTCCGGGAAAACATTTGTATTAACCCTTGCAGTGTGGCTACCCCAGCATTGCAAGGGTTAACTGCTCGTTTACGTCTAGGGACTAAAATAAAGTTATAGTCGACTCATTCTCGGAGTCGGATGTCACAGCGTCCCTCCAGCCTATCTCCTCCTCTGCTGCAGCGCTGGTATGTCCCTCACCGTCCTCAAGTCCAATACAAAGTGCATTGGATGTGATGACTCGAAGATCCACAGACCAATGCAGCGGAGGGGGAGCAAGGTTGGAAGGACCAGTCTAAGAGCAAGCCGGCTCAGGATCAGGTGAGTATACCTGTTTTTTTTTTTAGTCCCTAGTTGAAAACGAGCAGTTAACCCTTGCAGTGCAAGGGTAGCCCCACTGTAAGGATTGTCAAAAATTTTGCCCAGAGATCTGCTTTAAAGAAAGGCTGTACTGAGAGAGATGGGGGGTCGGGGCGCCCAGAGGCATAGCCACAGATCATGCGGCCCAACAGACATTTTTTGGGGGACTTCCGGCGACCTCCCTGCCATCTTTAACCTTAACTAAGGATGTGCATAGGCTTGGTGCAACCCGAGTTTGCTTGAGCCCATGCAGAATTGTCAGTAACAGATCCCAAATCAGCTGTGGCTGGGGCATTCCCTTTGTTACATCAAATGCCACATCCGGAGATGACAAACTCCGTTCACACCAAGCCCATGCACATCCCTAATTCTAACATAGTAGAGAACACACACCACTATATGAGTGCCATTCTCTGAAACATTCAAGACTGCCCACCACCACAAGGAGAAGGGGACCCCAGGACATCACATCACTGGTCAAAAGGCACCTAGAATGAAGGTATGTATTGAAAAAATGGAGAAGGGGAAGTCTAAGAGGAAGGGGTCACCAACCAGGCAGTGTATAAGAAATCTTTATTACATACGGATACAAAGTGTCATGTGACAGGACCAGGGCAATTTTGATTTGCTAACCTTGTTTGCTGCCTTCTGTGAATGAAATCTCATATTGGCATGTATGTAGGCTTTGTGAATGTTCTCACTTCCCCTGAACACTACAGACCTTTGGTGAGAGTGGGCCTCTTGCTCTGGTGGGTAGATAGGGCCTGTGGCCATGGCTGTGTAGGCAGGTCTCACGAGTAAGGTAAAAAGAATATTCTGACTGCAGTATGTTTTGATTGCAGAGCTTCCTTTAAAAGTCTCTGTTGTAGTTTAATTCAGATACTTTTTCACTTCATAAAACAAAAGTTTGCTCGTTAAACTGGTATGTTTATGTGTGACAATGCAACGTTTTTTGTGTTTGTGCAGATCCTCCGAGAACTTGGGTACAACAGAATGATTCTTCAGATTGGAAGGGGAACAGTGGAGCCAGAGCCATACAGTACACCTAATTTTACTATGGATGTTTTCCGATATAAAGATTCCCTTGCCCAAGACATTAGGAATGCAGATCTAGTTATAAGCCATGCAGGTAGCCAACTGTTATTTTGTCCATGTTTAAATATAATAACATCATTTTCAATGGTTATATAGTAAATATCAACTTGGAAATCTTTATATATTCCACCTGCCGTTTGTTAGGCTCTCAATAGGAATATACACTATATTGCCAAAAGTATTAAGGTGCCCATACACCTTTCGATTATCGGACGAAACTTTTCGTCCGATGATCGAACCGTCGTACGATTTTTCGTACCCATCCTGCCCCGATTATCGCAAGGTTCAATCAGCGGTAGTTAGAAAAAAATACCTGAACGACTTGCGGTAATTGACCAAAATTATTTTCGTTTGCGCATGCGCAGTGTTAAATCGTACTTTTGACGGACGGAAACGCCACCAACCATGCGAACATCGTACGATCGACCAAAGTTTTCAAACATGCATGACCTTCAAAAGTCGTACGATTGTACAGTACTATCGGTTGGGCACTCTATTCACAGGTTACGATTGTCGTACGAAAAGACGATGGCATACGATTATCGGACGATAATCGTAAGGTGTATGGGCAGCTTTAGAACACCCCTCCAAATCATTGGATTCAGATGTTCCAATCCCCTACATGGTCACAGGTGTATAAAATCAAGCACCTGGGCATGCAGACTGCTTCTACAAACATTTGTGAAAGAATGGGTCGCTCTCAGGAGCTCAGTGAATTCAAGCCTGGTACTGTGATAGGTTGCCACAGTATCACGCTTCTCTGGCTGGTGATCCGATGGACGTGTCTGGGTTTGGCGGTTGCCAGGAGAACGGTACTTGCCTGACTGCATTGTGCCAAGTGTTTGGTGGAGGGGGATTATGGTGTGGGGTTGTTTTTCAGGGGTTGGGCTTGGTCCCTTAGTTCCAGTGAAGGGAACTCTTAAGGCATCAGCATACAAAGACATTTTGATCAATTTCATCCTCCCAACTTTGTGGGAACAGTTTGGGAATGGCCCCTTCCTGTTCCAACATGACTGCGCACCAGTGCACAAAGCAGGGTCCATAAAGACATGGATGAGCAAGTGTGGGGTGGAGGAACTTGACTGACCTGCACAGAGTCCTGACCTCAACCACATAGAACACCTTTGGGATGAATTAGAGTGGAGACCGCGAGCCCGGCTTTCTCGTCCAACATCAGTACCTGACCTCACAAATGACACACTCCTAAACCTTGTGGACGCCTTCCCAGAAGAGTTGAAGCTGTTATAGCTGCAAAGGGTGGGCCAACTCAATCTTGAAGCCTACGGACTAAGACTGGGATACCATTAAAGTTCATGTGCGTGTAAAGGCAGGCGTCCCAATACTTTTGGCAATATAGTGTATATGGAGCTAGGTTTGTCAGAGCAGTGAGCATAATTCTTCCCACGTAGGTTCTTGATATCATGAACAATTTGCGACACAAAAAGCTTTTAAGAAATGATTACAGTCCTGCACAATATCTGATCAACTTTTCATGTTCATCTAAGAGTATCTGCAGTGTATAGTCTTCTCCCTTCTATCACATCAAATGTTTATAATCCTTTATTTGCTTGCTAACTGTAATATAAAAAATATAATGCCAAAAAAGTACACTAAACCAAAGTTTGCCCAATTTCATATCTTTTTAGGTGCTGGAAGCTGCTTAGAAACACTTGAAGAAAAAAAACATCTTATTGTTGTGATTAATGAAAAACTGATGTCCAACCACCAGCTTGAACTAGCTAAGCAGTTGCGTGAAGATGGGCATTTATATTACTGCACATGCAGGTACAACACACAGACTTGTCACGTCAAGCATGCCTGGTGATATGACTGAAAAGGGACAGTGCATTTCTTTACATGCAGATCTGTATTGACAGCACAGGGTATTATACTCACAAATTCATGTTTAGATAAGGCCTTCTATATAGATCCACAAGACTGGAGCTGTAGCCATAATCCAAAAGTTGTACATGCTGAATCCGTGTGTTCATCCAGCTGACCAATGCCAGTTCCAGAGCACACTCAGCCCTAGGCCAACGGGTTTCCGGGGCAACGCCCCTTTCTTCAGGGCTCTAAAGAAGGGGGCGTTGCCCTTGAAATGCGTTAACCTAGGGCTGAGTGTGCTCTGGAACTGTTATTGGTCAGCTGGATGTAGACACAAGGATTCAGCCTGTACAATTTAGGGATTATGGCTACAGCTCCAGTCTTGTGTTGTGGATCTATATAGAAGGCCTTATATACACATGAATTTTTTCCAGATATATCATCCGGTAAGTTTACCTAGCTGATGAGATGCTGCCACTCTGGGGGAAGATTTCACTTTTGTGATCCATAGCAAGGGCCCCTGGCGCTGGTGGATGAGCAATGATTTTTGATGACTAGCACAGGGTATTAGTTTAAAGTGGATTTCTCACAGTTGTCTTTTAATATATGTCACTGTGGGGCACATTTCAAAAACCACTGCAAACCAGAGTGCATAGAGCTTTATCAACAGCTGGATGGATACAATGGATCGCCTTTATTCATTTATGTTAAACATTTATCCCAAAAGGAAAACAAAACTGTTGCTGTAACTGCTTAAAAAAATGTTAGCTGGAAGTCTGCTTTAATATGTTGGTCAAGTCCATCTAAATTTGGAGAAGCATCTAACACTCCCCTCATCACAGGGTGACAATGCTGCTATCTATGGGTGGCTTCATTGCCCCTTTAGTGAGTGGAACCACCCTAAAGATGGCCATATACCTATAGATTTTCTGTCAGCCTATGATAGAAATGCCTGATTGGATGTAGGCATTGTTCAGGTATTTTGAGAGTCAACGGGGCCAACTTGCAAGATACTGAAGCTTGGTCCAGTGGGAGGTTCCTCCATCCACACAGTTTAACATAAACGAAGGAATCTGTTGCACTTTTTCCATCTGACCATAGAAAATCTGCAGATAATCTATAGGTGTATGGCCAGCTTATGACAGGAAGTTTGTTACTGGCCAGGTCACAAGGTGAAAATTCAGGGGAAAAAAGCCTAAAAAAGAAAACTAATGCAGTCACCACATTTAAGGGATGGAAAAGTACAATATATTACTTTTTTCGGTTTATATTTTCTTAAATAACATAACAGATTGTGTGACCTAATATGGAGACTACCCTTAAAGTCTGGTAACAAGAGCCAGAAGGTTTTTATACTGGAGGGCCACAGCACTGGCATTAGTCTAACCGCAGAAATCATATTTCGCTCATAAAAGAAAGTGCCAGTTCTTGCAAACCGGACTGTAATACCCAGGAATCCTACCAGCACAGAAATATGAACGCAGAGTTGCAAATTGTAAACACTTAATTTGTCTTTAATGGAGCTATATTCCTAAGTAAAATATAGAATAGTTTTCCATGATGGTCACAAACTTAAAGTGACATTAAACCCTCAGATTTTTTAACATAAACCAATACTGTAATGTGTGCCTTACTGTAATCCATGGTTGTTTCCCTTCTCTTTGCCGCTCTTCCTTTTAAATCCTCATGTCTTCTCATGCTGGGGGAGAACTTCCCTTTGCAGCTGAGTGCCTCTTCCTGTAGTGCTGGCTCAGGTTACAAACCTACACACAGACACCATGTATCCATTTCAGAGACAAGGCAGTCTGCTGCCAAACAGAAGTTCTGCCCAGCATGAGAACAGATACAGATTTAAAAGGAAGAGCAGCAAAGAGAAGGGAAACTACCATAGATTACAGTAAGGCACACATTACAGTATTGTTTTATGTTAAAATATCTGAGGGTTTAATGTCACTTTAAGTAGCCACAAATTCTGTCGCGTTTTTAGAGATAACAGCTTGCATTATTAGCAGCTGGAGGTAGTAATCCAGGTATATATATTTGTTCATCTGAATGTCCATTGCCTTGTGTTTCCAGAAAATATATTTACTGTTATTCATCATTTCAATTAGGGAAGATTACAATGAAAGTGATGGGAAAGCAGCCATCAATAGATGGTTTGTTTATGATATAAAATGTTTTCTTAATAATAATAAAAGTAGTCATGTTTATTGTATTTTTATCCCATGTCTGTAAGTGGAACGCCAGACAATGTTTAACTTTTGATAATTGATCAGGACATCTGCAAAGATTTTATGGCCAGCCATTTTCCTGTTTCTTTCACTGGACACCGAACAGCAAGTGAGACAGGAGCTCCAACAAAGATCTTCAACACAGGCCGCAGTATAAACCTTTCAAAGGTTCTAGACCTTTCCAACCCAAAACAAGATGTTGACTGGGGTTCTAAAGTACAAGTGAATTTGAATGAGATTAAAAATATGGATTTTAGATTGAGGTCATCTGTGTACATTGCATTTTTAATTAACTATCTACAGTATATTATCCCATATTAATGTCATTTTTCTTTTCTTTTCTTTTTCTTCACACAGTACCCTAGGGAACATGCTAAAGTCAATGGATCTTTCATCTCTGAAGATTTTCCCCCCAGGCCGACCAGAAAAGTTTGCAGAATTTTTAGATAAAGCGGTGGGGTTTACATAACAGTTCATAAGTGAAAGAAAACATTTTTGGTACTATTTCCTGTGGGAATACATAAACACATTTATGATGTAAACACATCCAGATATTTATAGAAATAGTATTTTAAACTAATAGCTTTATTATCATTGTATATTATGTCTCCTAAACACTGTCCTGAAAGGTGTGTGTTATCTTGGTGTCTCCACATTATGAAAGGTGAAGTATGTAGTGTTTGGGTTTCTTATTAGCTACCAGTTATTACACTGATGCACTAAAAACATGACCTTGCTAGCTGGCATGAGAATGAAAGCAATCAGATCCTCAGTTTTATGTTTCCTTTCAATACAAGAAAGAAGTCGGGTGGTTGGTAGGGGCAGCTTAGTTGTCCTGAATGAACAGAGACAATTTTTTTGCTTTAATTAATTTCAGGACAATGCATTAAAGTGAGATACATAGTAGAAAAACTGAAGGGCTCTTCTACTTTCTAGGAATAAGTGGAAGGTTCTTCTGCCTCTCATCTTGCCAGGCCCCCGGACCTGCTACTATTATTATTACTGATATTTGTATAGAGCCGAAAATGTACGCAGCACTTTACATTGTTGCACATTCACATCAGTCCCTGCCCTCAAGGAGCTAACAATCTAAGGTCCCTATCTCACATGCATACATAGGAGGACCAATTTAGGCAGGCACCAATTAACCTACCAGCATATCTCTGGAGTGTGGGAGGAAACCCATGCAAGCACAGGGAGAACAATCAAACTCCTTGCAGTTAGTTCCCTGACCTGAATTCTAATCAGAGACCCCAGTGCTGCGAGGCAGAAGCGCTAACCACAAAGAGCTGCAACTATTGATTTTTTTTATAATGGATTAGTCGGCCGATTATTTTTTTCCGATGAATCGGGTAACTACCATCCTTCATTTAAAATGAAATACACAAATGCTGTGTTGCAAACATATAGTTTTCTTCAGAATAAAACTGCATGCACAATTTTTTTGCAATCGCACTGCACTGCAACGCACTGCATTGCAGTACCATGCATTCCAATGCGAGCGATCACACTGTGGGTGGGAGGCACGCTTGGGGTGCCATTGAAATGAATGGTACTGCAACGCACCTCCCACAGCAGAATTTGTCAGGCCAAAACCGAAAATTACTTTTTTTCCACCTATTATAATTGATATTAGATTTGTTTATTTTATAATTGTATTGTAAGCACAGGGCACTTGAATAGCTTCAGCCAGGGAATGACAGCTGCCAGTGTCAAGATACCACAGATGGCAACTGAATGTAAATACAGTAGGTAGTGAGCTGGTGCAATAGCCAGCCTGCTATTGGCCTTTTCAAATTGCAATAGCCAATAGCAGGCTATCTATTGCACCCGCCCACTGCTTGCTGTGCCCTCCTCACACCATGGAGGAGAGAGCTAGGGAATCCAACCAAATAATCGAGAATGAGAATAGTTGACAACTATTCTGATAATCGATTCTTAGCGATTAATCGATTAGTTGGTTGCAGCCTTACTAACCACTAAGCCATGGTTATGATGGTTCTTCTTATTTTAGCAGCTCTGGCACCTTCAACATGTATTTGCTTTGTCATCTTCTCCATCATCTATAACTGAGTAGAAAGGCATGTGGCCTGATAATTTTATATTATTGTGTAAACTCCTCTGCCAGATAGCAAGGATAACTTGCCACAAACGTGTGGCAGGGAAAAACTGTAATTCTTGTTAACTTGCTGCACACATTCCTGGCAAGTTGTAGACTTGCAGCACAAGTTCTAGTTGACCCTTTCTGAATTTGTAGCAAATTTGCTTAGCAGGTCTACAGCAAGAGTCCTGCAGGTCTTTGCAAGAGCTCTGCAAGTGTACAGCACTTTTGTAAAGCACGTTGATCTGGAGACTTGCAATGCAGACTTGCTGTAATTGTGCAACAAAATTGTGAACTTGGCAAGTCTAGCAATAGTTCAGCAAGTCATTTTCAAACTTGCAGGTCAATTGCTTGCTATCTGGGTTGGTACCTGAGCTTCTAATATTTTATTTTATTGTCAACGGGGAACTCTACACCTTTTACTCTCGCAGCTAAAAATATTCCAGCCTCAATAACAATGATTATTTTATTACTTGATGCCCTAAATCATTTATTTTGGTAATGTTTCATGATTATGAAGCTAAATAACTTGGAGCCCTAATAACCACCACAAGCTGGCTTCACATACTCCTACAACTCATAATATCATGTTTGGGCTTCTCTTTGCAGTATGTTATGGAGGGACATTCCCTTATGGGGTGTGGTTGGCTTTCATAAGCTAGGGTTTAGGGATCCTTAGGGTGTGCAGGAAGAACACTGGCATTTAACAGAGTTATATGCAGACATCTTGTGGTGTCTGCTATTAGGGGCATATGTAAATTAAACAGCTTTGCCATAGTGACAGGTTCACTCCAAGGTACTGCTTTTCTGGAACATATGTCAAGATATTTTCTGTAACAAGTTTGTATCATATTTTCAGTATTGATTTTTTTTACTTGTACTTACTATTAAATATATACTGTGGATTGTGTTTATGTTCATCCTGTTTACTGTCTATAATACACATTTCTACTGGACTTACGTGTTTTTTACACCATTTGTGTTGAGTATTCAAGATTAATGGAACTGATAAAAACTGGATCAACGTAGAATTTTCCCGTAACTTTATCTACTCTTCTTAACACAGAGCATACTGTAAGTGATGCAGCAGACGTCGGATTGTGCTTGCTTGGTCATTACATGGCACGCCCACAAGTGTTCTTTGTATTTTTTTTACTTAATTGATTTTTCTGGATTTATTTCTGAATGTTACTATTACACAACACTTTGCAGAGTGCATAGAGCCATTGCTTCAGTCCTAGTTTCAAAAGGAAGCATATAATCTAATAATAACATATTTCCCATCACACTCCAGACTGGAATCCCAATGTGTTTAGATGGGTGCTGGAACCACCTGTGGATGGCGCGGCGCACGCACACGCACACACACACACACACACACACTCACTCACTCTCTCTGTTTGCCTGATAAAGGGACCATTAATAGTTCCGAAACGTAGCTGTTCACTAGTGATACCATGTATTCTTAGCATCTAATAAAGGTGTGTTGATACATTGGACTTTGGTGTGCGGGTGACTACTTTCACGCTTTTTAATTTAATGTCACAACCACAGCCATTCAAGCACATTTGGATTAAAGTCAGCTAACCTAACTGAATATTTTTGTGGGTTGAGAGGAAACCAGAGTATCCAGAGAAATCCATGCAAACAAGAAAATATCATACACAACATTGGACTGACTTAGTCCTTCTATTGTAGGATGGGTAGTCTCTTTGTAAATAGGATTGACTTGTGCCATCTACAAAGTTTTGATATTCCCATAATACCTAATATTGGCTTGCCTTCTACACAGTGCAAAGTGACTGATCATACATAGCATAAGATTGTTATGGGCCTATTATGTTGTGCTTCTATGTACATGAAAGTGTCTTACAGTTGTGTCTGAGAACAGGGAAGGATGAAAATAAATATAGACAGTAACTATATCATTATCTTTGCACTTTGTTTCCTGGCTAATAAAAGGATATCTATAAATTCGGAAGGTAAAAGCCTTTTTAATATATCAATGGGTACCAAAGGACCATTCGACTACCTATGTAGTTTAACATCTAAAAGGTGCCCTTACACCTTACAATTATCTGCAGATTTTCTGTGGTCAGAGGGAAAAAGAGCAACAGATTGGCCCAGGTGGAGATTACTCCATCCACACAGTTTAGCGTAGATGGAGGAATCTGTTGCACCTTTTCCATCTGACCACAGAAAATCTGCAGATAATTGTAAGGTGTATGGCCAGCTTTAGACATCTGTCCTCCCTTCACCCCAGCTGAAGTCACCAAAATAGACTTTGTCATATAGACATTATACTAGCAGCCCCCATTTTCATAGTCTTATCTCCACTTACCTGTTGCGCATGGAGTCTGAATATGACTGTGCAGTCCAACAGGTATCAGAGGTAGACCTGTGCTCTCAGTAATCAGCATTCAGAACCAGTCAGACACACCTCCTGCCTTTTTCTGCAAAACTCTGTGTGAGGAAGCTTGTGTCAGGGACATGGCTGTTACTCAGCTATGTCTACGTAGAGCAACTGAGTGGGGAGCAAGAAGCAGCATTTTGTCTGTAAGAAAATCTATTTTAAAGCTGAACTCCAGGTATGTGTGTATATATATATATATATATA